AGTCGCGAACGCGAAAGATGGCAGCGCGAAAGCAATTGAATAAAGTCTGCCGAGGGGGGGGAGGGAAAGAGCAGGAAAAGAAAAGCAGCGAACGGGGAACCCTCGACTTTTACGCGGGGGGATGCTGCTGCTGCCCCTGCCCCCTGCCCTGCTTTCATCGTACTCTTAGGTCACGCTCGGTCGTCGCCCGCACGCGCCGCATCCGGGCCGTCCACGTGTACTCCCCCGCGCCCCGCGGGGTGCCCTCCCTGCCGTCGATCCGGGGGGGGGGGGGGGCCCCCGTACACCGCGGGGGTCCGTCGAGCCGAGCGAAGCCGGCGTTTATTGCGGACCCAAATCCCGATATTTGCGCGGCGATCGATGTTAATTTTGTTCGGCAGGAATTTAATCGGGGGGAAAAGTCATTTCGAGTACGATTTCGTTTTCGTGCGTTACGTTGCGTTGGGATTGTCCCGGAGGTTTTAAAAAGCGTCCGGGTAATTTTGGAAGAACAAAAATTTTGATTTATGAATGTCTTTTGAATTTAAATTTTTTTATTTTTTATTTTTTTTATGAATTAATTTTTGAAGCCTATATTCATTGAAATTCCAAATTACTTTGCGATGCGGTCCGGTCATCATAGTAGCCTCGTATACTTAGCGAGACCGGATGTTGGCTTCGATGATAGCGGAGTTTGTTTGTTTCTCTATTTGTGGCCTTGGATTCAAGTCCGGTTGGAAACAATTCAAAAGTAAAAACCCCGAATGTAGGAAGCCCGTGCGAGGGAATGGACCCTTAAGATTGCCCGAGAAAGTTGATCGGTTGAGATGCATGCACGGTGGGCTCGAATGGTAGCTTACCGCTAAAGCCAAAAGCATAGAGGCAAATGGGGTCCAATATTCACTCTTCCTAAAGTTTGGTGATTTCATGATCTTGAAATAGGCAGCGCTCTTCAACGCATCGTCCGGTGTTCATTCTTGTCAACTCGATTCATCCCTCGAATTTCTTTTGGATAGAATTTGACTAGACAAAGTAACACATACTCGATTACCTAACGATATAACATTGTACTCTAAGTCCAAATTTGACTACACAAATCATTGAATGAATTTCGAAGCAAGTGGTCTTGATTAAAAGTTGTAAATTATGTGACCTTCAGTTCAATTTCGATCAAATTACATCTCCTATGGGGAAAGTATCTTCCAAAAAATACTTAAAAATATATAGAAACACGTTTATCGTGACCGATACAAAAGTTCGAAGAAGACCCATCTTATTCTACAGGTTAGGAATATATGAAATCTTTGTGTGTTGTTCACATTGTCAATAACCAACAACTTGGTTGATAGTACATGAAATCTTCATGTAATTTTTTTAACATTCTTCTTTTGAGAGCTTTTTATATTTTGAGGGTCCGCATAATTGGATCAAAACCAAAGGATGTTGAGTTCGAATTAGATTTATTGAGGTATGTTGTAAGTAATGCTCCTCATCGTTTCTATTGTTTTATAATCTAATTTGATTTATTTTTCTAACTATAGCTACATCTAAACCCATTAGAGAAATATAGGCGTTCAAGTGCTACTAGTTAAGCTTAACTCTGTAGACCAACTAAATAAGTTTTTCGGAGTCGGACTATGTTCCGGATAAATATGAGAGGCCAAAATTTTGCATATGATTCCGATAAACTATGTAAATATATTTTGTATTTAGAAACACATAAAAAAATTTCTCGAAATTATAAACTCGTTTTGTTAAGTCAATCTTAGATTGGTCAAAATGGGTCAAAAATCTATTTCTTAACCTATTACTTGATGGGCTGAATTGTTATATTGGTTAAGCTATATTTAGTAAATGGGTTATAAATGGATTTAGAATAGTCAAACCTAATATAATATGGGTGTTGAATAGGTTTACAACTTACTTATACTCAATCTATCTCTATATCTCTCTCTTCGGTCTTTTTCACCCTCACTTGATCTAATCCTCACTCATTTCATGCTCTCACCTTAGTTTGTTCCTCAATTGGGTTAATTATAGAAGTGTTTTAGCAATGTGGGTCGGGTTGGTTATGATTTGGGTATGGCCAAGTCTGGTATGGGTCACTAGATTTGTATTGCGTGGAAATGGGTCAAACTTGGTTAAATTGATCAATCTGGGTCGGACCATTTTCAATCAAACCCACCCGTTTTGACGAATCTTGATATGGGTTACTAGATTTGTATTATATGGAAACAGGTCAAAACGAACTAAATGGGTCAATTTGGATCGGATTATTTTCAATCCAATCCGCCCGTTTTAAAGGTCTAGTTAATATCAATTGAAAGTACAAGTTGGATGGAGTTTGCGTTGCATGAATGGCATATTCAGTCATCGAGAAAGGAACTTGCACTATGATAAATCGGCGTTCCTTAGTGTATCAATTACATGGTATTATCAGGGCAGTAGCATCCTTTCCAAATCTCAAAAATTGAAAATGGCGAATGAAGAAGGTTGGGTAAAAATTCCAATAAATTAATTATCCACATCCCACATTATATCTTTTGTAAAGTTGAGCATATTTCCTTGAACTTCATTAGTAAGTGCCCAACCATTCAAATAAATGATTTTTTTTAAATTATTATATTTGTATTATGTATAAGGGTTAATACCACGAAAAACCCTAAACTGGTACACCTGTGACAAATTTATCAAAAACTAACTTTTTGACAACTAAAAATTCCAAACTAGTACGCCCGTAACAAATTTATGCTTAATTAGTTTCTATTAAATTTTACTATGAAATTGCTTTGTTAAATGACACGTGACAGTTGACGGATGTACCAGTTTTGAGTTTTACCTTTTGTTCACAAGGGTACCTGTTTGTAATTTTTTGTAGTATTAATCTAATTTAACAAAAATTAACTAAGCATAAATTTGTCACAAATATATTGGTTTAAGATTTTTGGTGATCAAAAAATTAATTTGCGGTAAATTTATCACATGTGTACCGGTTTGGGCTTTTTAGTTGTCGAAAAATTAATTTGAGGTAAATTTATTATAAATATATCAATTTGAAATTTTTTGTGATATTAATCTTATGTATGATCAATAAGTCGGATAAAAAAAATTATTTACTAGATATCCTTACAAATATCTGACACGCTTTTTTTAGCCCACGACAAGGAGGACACGTGGCGAAGGATGTGTGGTGAGTAGGTCCCACTTGAGACTTGCCAAAAAGAACTAGATGGGTCGTTGTCTCAACCAGAGGCTGTCGGTTTGCCTATCTGGTTGCGTCGCTTGATCGTACGGCTCACAACAGCCAAAACTGTGATTTTTTAAAGTTTTTAAATCCCCAAAAATAGAAAATAATTAAACGCAGTGCAGTGAAAGGACCCTTTTCTTATACCCTCAAAAAAAGGACCCTTTCGTCAGAAATTTATATATATTATATATATATATATTCTCAAAATTATGAAAAAAAATTTTGGTTTTGAAGGGACCGTTTTCTCTAGTGACTGCACATTTTTGGGGGTAGTAGCCTTTTGAAATATCTCATGACAAGAGCATACCCATTTTTTTTTTATACTTATCTCCCTCAATAGTTTTTTTTTTATGTTAATAGGGGAAACTGCAGCATTTTTCGAATTAAGTTATCCACGTTAGATATAAGATGGCTGACTGCGACTAGGCCGTCGTGTCTGCAATTTTAGACGGAACTTGGCCGGTTTGGACTTGAGTTGCTTTTTCACTCAAATGATTGTGGCTATATTAATTTAATTGAAATGTTGAGAATTGAATTTAAATCCGTAAATGTTTAAAACGGAAATTGCGGTTTTCTCGAACCATATATGTGTTGTGCCAACATGACAACTTAATGGGGTATTGGTTTTTTTATTTTTAGAAGTTAATGGCACTTTTTTACAATATCGTCAAAAATTAATATATTATATATTCACAAAATTATAAAAAAATTACTTGGCTTTTTTATTTTAAAGGGACAATTGCATCAATAAATCTAAACATTCTGCCCAATGTGCAACAAAGTCAAGCATATACAGTGCATTCAAGTCGTGCCGACGATCGCTAGCCAATTTTTACTTATGTGGCATGTCAAAATCCAACTTTTTATTTTTTATATTTTGTGAATAAAAGTGACGTTGATGTGGCGCCACGTCCGAGAATGACCTTTTCAAAAAAAGAAAAACCATAAAACCTAAATTTTCAAATAAGGAAACAAGAAATCTGAAATTTTTCGAAAAAAGAAAAATTATCTTATTTTGTTCTTTCTTATTTTGATTTTTGGCTTCTTTTTTGTTTTTTTGCAAATTGTTTTGGCTTTTTTAGTTTTCATTATGTTATATTTAGCCTATTTTCAGACGCGGTGCCATGTCAACGCCACTTATATTAAGAAAACTAAAAAATGGTACATCCAATTTCAAGAGCGCCACATCAGTATAATTGATTAAGCAGTCATCGGAATGACTTGGTTGCATCAGCGGCAAAAACATTTAAGACTTGATTTCACATCAAGCTAAATTTGAGGACTATTAGTGCATTTTTCCCTTAAATAAGGTCAAAATGCGTGAGTTGCGGGATTGAGAAAAGGCAAAAAGTGAGAAACAATCGTTATTCCACACACACCATTCAGGTTAAAAATCTTTTAATGTCTTATTAGAGCTCGACTCCGGCCCTCTTTATATTATCACGTACTATCTCGTGGATTTTCATGTATTATAGCGTCATGCTTAGTCTAATGCATTCCTGACGCATTCTTATCTAGCTTTAATCTTATTGATATACACGTTGAGAAGTATTAGATGCACACAATACTTTCGGGTGCATCCACCAACACTCAAAGATTTCAAACTTCATAAATTTGGGAATCATGTCGTTTTTGAAGCAATGCGGCCTATGTTGAAAATCACATGTCCAAGGACCAACTCTTAGGCGCATGGTAGGATTGAAGCTGAAGCCCAACATCAATGACGGTAATGCTGTCAAGCCTTAGAGAACAAGATGAGGCGCATAGCTAAAGATATTCGAAGCCTTTTTGCTCTGCGTACCTTGATGGGCCAAAAGCCTTTCTTACAATGCAAAGTGCAAACGGCTGTTCAATCTGCTCGAAAAGAAGAAAGATTCTCAACGCAGCGTAGGAGTAAAAACCTCCACCAAAACTCACTTCCCTCGCATTGCGGATCTTGCACATGCCATCCATGCAATAAATCAACAGATAAATGCACAAATGAAGACAGATCAATTCTGGTCAACCCTTTCTTACCCCCACCTTGATGCTCCATTGCAATGGCAAAAGCTACAACTTGACCACCTGCTGAGCTCCTAATCTGGCTTTTGGTTGGTGGGGTCTCGCCAAAGGGATTGAACGGATGTCATGGTGATACAGAATCATCACTAAAATGGTGGACGAGGCCAACATGGGCACTGGACCAAAGAACCAGAGGAGGAAAGCTAGACCAAAATAGATTACCCTAAGCCCAAGTGACCAAAACTCACCACCCCTTATGATGACCACCTTCACATCCTCCTTGCTGATGCTGTCTTCTTGTGTGGTGATGAGATAGTTTGCGTGGATGAAGTGCCTGGCTGACTGGAGGAAGAACGAGAAGGCCAGGACAAAGCAGGCCAAGAGACTCATGTACTTGATGGCCGTGGTCGATGGTTCCGTGTCCCCAAGCCCCCCAAGTTGCCGGAACAGGTTGTCGACGGTGGAGTTTGCGATCCATGCCCCCAGTAGAGAGCTGAGAGTGAGGCAGACCGAGGCAAGGAAGGTTGCAGCTGTCACGCTCGATGCGATCACGTTTGTAGCGAAATTTCTCTGGTCAAGTGTCAACTGCTCGCATATTCAGAGATCACTTGTCAGTTTGTCACCGTCTTACAAAAGGAAAAGCAAAAGAATGACAACCGTCGAATCGACATAGGGATTCATGAATCGGAATCTCAAAAGGGTTTGAGACGGTAAGCGAAGATGCAAGAAGAGAGATGAGGGATTGAGAGCAACCACGAGATCTTAAACTACCTTACTGATTCCTTCAACCCAAGCTCTCTTGTCCACATTCTCAATGCCCATGACTGTTGTTTCAGGGGCATGTCGATATCTATAAAGAAAGAACAGATGGTACGCGAACATGATCGCCAGCCCGCCTGGAACCAAAACCAGATCCAGATCTCTCTTGTGGAAGATCATGTTTCTTCCCCTCTGTTTCTGAAGTTCCCACAGGTAGAGAATTGTAAGTTGGGGTTTTCCAAACCTTAAGGAGCTAATTAATATAGGAAAAGTGTGTGATTATATGCTTGGAATATACTTAAAGGATCATTGACTTCGCACAATGGGACTGAAACGAGTTCACGTCTCCAAAAGATGATTCTAGAGAAGCGCAATTAGTTCGACACGCCCTAGCATGTGGGCTTATAAAGCAGCTAACCTATGTTGCGATGGCGAATCAGCAGCCAGCGACATCGCGCCCAACGCAGACCGAAAATTGCTAAAAGCTCAGGACCAAGATGACAGCGGATCATATAGATAATCTCCTCCGGCATTGTAAAGCGAGGGCAAGTAATCTAGCAATAGGATCGTGGGTCGGATCACTGGTTTCGAAGCCGATGGCTCGTAAAATTTCTTCTGGTTCAACAACCAGAAGAGATTCGACTATGATAGTACACGTTTTCGACTAGAATCATCAATTTCTGAATGAAGAGGGCTCGTGATGGCGCAATGATTTGCATACCGCTCCATCTAGTAGGTCGATACTAGATAAAAAAAAAATTTGTAACTTTAACAGTTTCTTCGTCCCCATGCCCCTTAAATTCCAGGAGTTCAAATCAAATCATCTGTATTTCAATTCAGCGTGGAGATTAACTGAACATGGAAGACAAAGTGGGCTCTTACGTTCTTGAACAATCGTGCTCTTGCCCGTCTCATAGTTAATTTTCCACCATCGGATCAGCTCCCAAAGATCAAGATCAAATCACAGAGAGAGAGAGACATGGATCCAGACTTCGAGGTGCTTCTAATTCAAAAGAAACGACATACATTGTAATTTTCCAGCTAAACCCAACACGTCAAACGCGATTTCACACCGATATCTCCTACGAAAAAGCGCAGCTTCCATCAATCGTTGCTAACTGAAGAGCACATGTACATGGAAGGCAAGAATCAAGCCCTCTCGCCCCTGATCCTCCGCGCGAGCTGGATGTCCTTGGGCATGATGGTGACCCGCTTCGCGTGGATCGCGCACAGGTTGGTGTCCTCGAAGAGCCCCACCAGGTACGCCTCCGCCGCCTCCTGCAGCGCCGCGACGGCGCCGCTCTGGAACCGGAGGTCCGTCTTGAAGTCCTGCGCGATCTCCCGGACCAGCCGCTGGAACGGCAGCTTCCGGATCAGCAGCTCCGTGCTCTTCTGGTACTTCCTGATCTCCCGGAGCGCCACCGTGCCGGGGCGGAACCGGTGGGGCTTCTTCACGCCGCCGGTCGCCGGGGCCGACTTGCGCGCCGCCTTGGTGGCCAGCTGCTTCCTCGGGGCCTTGCCGCCGGTGGACTTGCGCGCCGTCTGCTTCGTTCGCGCCATCGAAGACGAAGCTGAAGACGAAGATGGTGTCTAGGGTTTCTTGCTCTTGTTGCAGAGAGATCTGGAGGTTGAAGAAGGTGATGGGAAGCGAAGGGAGGGAGCGAGGCGGTTTAAATCGGGGGGGATTTCTGGAGTTTCGCGCGGCGAGCGAGGGAAGATATCGACCGTTGGAATCCGCTTTGTTTGGACGGTCCGGATCGTTCTTGGGTGAGGATCGATGACGTGGCCGCGGAGGCTGGGCTTTCGGGGCGCGCCTTGTCCCGCGAGGGATTTGATCATGAGCGTCTATGAGGAAGGGAGGGGGCGGGAGATCGACGGACGTGGTTCACTTTGGCATTAGCACCCGGATCGCGGATGAAAGGGCACGGAAGTCGGCGCGGTGAAATAATTTTTTTTTAAGAAAAAAGGTTTTTTCTTTTTTCGGTTTTTAAGGGGAAAATACCGAAAGGGTGGCGCTAATGCCACAATCAAAATGGCTTAATACACACCTTTTAAATTGAATTGACAAAGAAATGCCCTAAATAAAAATCAATTTATCTTTTATTGCCCTTTTTTCTACCAAGGGAAAACACAAATAAATTAATGTTCAGATTGTATTTATTTAGAGAGCTCCAATTTGTCATGAAACTTATCAGTATATCCTTTTCTAGTGGAGTTAGATATGAAGGAATTAAAGAGGCTGTGAAGTCAAAGAAATTGGGAGGTGGATTTGGGCTTGTTTTGGAAGAGAAGAAACATTACGTGTTGAAGGTTTGTTTTGGATAAAGGGAAAACGACACAAACAGTCCCTGAACTGAACTTTTACTTAATGTGTAATTTGATCCTTGAACGTTTAATTTGTTCAATGTAGTCCCTGAACTTTAACCCAATATTCAATATGGTCCATGAATTTTCAATTTGTTCAATGTGGTCCATGAACTTTTGGTACATGTTCAATATAGTCCCTGAACTTTATAAAAATATTCAATGTAGTCTTTCAATCAATTCAAGTTCAGGGACTATATTGTATATTTTCGTATAGTTCATGAACTAAATTGAACATGTACCAAAAGTTCAGGACCACATTGAACAAATTAAAAGTTCAGGGACCACATCGAACATTGGATTAAAGTTCGGGGACTACATTGAACAAATTAAAAGTTCATGGACCAAATTACACATTGAGCCAAAGTTCATGGACTGTTTGGGTTATTATCCGTTAGATAAAATCAGTTTCGTGTATGCACGAGTGATTAGCAAAAGGGCAAAAGAAAAAAATCTCAATGTTCCTGCGTTTGTGTATGCGCGCGTTGAGGAGAAAACTGAGCAAACGCAAGTCTTCTGTTCTCCTTCGCCACAGCTGAGGACGTCGAAACCCGAAGAATGGGTGAAGAAGGAAACCGGTTCTTCGAGCTTGGTTGGGGGAGGGAGAGGAGGCCTTGCGGTGACATGGCATCATGGACAAGTTTTGAACATTTCCCAACTGTGATCTTCTCAGCCCAGATTGGATAAGAAGATTTTGAAAAGATGATTTTGCTCCAATTTGAGGAATTAGAGTTACGCTTCTTTAAGAACACCTTGAATTTTGCCCCAGTTCCTTAAAATTTGGGGCAAACAAATCTCTATACAACGGGTCTGGTCCTCAGGTCAAACTAGACCCCGTTGCTCACCCTTAACGGAGAGGGGAGTTGACTATTGTTGAAACAGCAACGGGGTGGGAGGCAAGGGTGTCAAAAATACCCAACTCGAATTGAAAATTTAGGTCTTTTCGGTTTGGGTCTCATTTAGTTCGGGCAATACGTAAAGGAATTCGGGTAGTTTGATAGTTCGGTTCGGTTCAGGTTTCGGGTTTCCTCTTTTTTTTTTCTATACATTTCACAATAAATTCATGGGTGCAAATAATCTGTCATTCATCACTTTAAATTCGTTCTTAAAATTGAAACATGGGATTAGATCCAAGAATAAAGTGTGGGGAGATTATTTATTGCGAGTAGAGAGATCAACAAAGAAATCTAGATTAGAACTTAGCAACTTCCCCTTCCTGTAATACTCTATACACATTGAACAAATGTGTGGGATCTCGATAGATGATATGTGGGTACTTGTAAATGAATAGCTTGCATACCACTGAGCTATATTATCTTTAGCCTTAATTGAAAAAAACTTCCACTAATCACCTTTTTTATTTGTGGTTTCAAGTTATGAACATCATTTATATACTTTTTTTTTTATGAAATCCAAACGAAAAATTAAGTTAATATAAACATGAATAACGTCAATAATTGGTATCAAAAAAAAAAAAAAAAAATAACGTCAATAATTGTTACTCACCAATTAACAAGATGGTTGGAGGAAATTTTTTTATTATCAAGGTTGAGAAAAACAAGGCGCACATTGCATGTATGCATGTCCTTTTTTTTTAACTCGATTGTGTGGTTCAACTTTATATGGATTTGCAAGGGGTGAGAACTAGAGAGGAAGAAACCCAACGCCACATGCTTGAGGCCGTGGATGAGACTTGGATTAGGTGGGGGGAAGTGATGACAAATCCTCCTTTAAATTAAGCTGAAAGTTAAATTATAGGCACATTTAATGAATGAGAAACCGTGCAAAGCTTTGTGAAGAGCTTGGGGTTGCGTCACTGTTGTTTTTTTCTCTGGCCAAATGTTAACTACTAATCATTAGGATTTGTCCCGGCAGCCATTCTTCCTACTTAAAAAGGAGGAGGGGTTAGGGGTGGGGACATATAGTTTCAGATATGGATTTTGACTTCCACGCTCTGCAAGAAGCAGGACAAAAATTTGAGAATGAATTGAGAGTTAGAGTAGGATAAAAAATAATTGTTAACTACCATAAACAAGTTGTTTCTTTGCACGACATATTTGACTTTTGTTACATATGTCTCGAGTTTAAGCACGTGAATGAAACCAGACTCAAGATAAATTAAATATATGTGAACGTTTGCAGCGGTGTGCCATGGAAATCATATTTCCCGTTCAATATAGTCCAAGCCGAAGGTTTCCTATATTGTCGGTCAAGCAAAATATAAACTTATCAAATGGGTGGGTCGGGTCGGGTTTGGGTTTGGGTCGGGTCACAAATGGTCCAATCTAAATTGACCCATTAACCGTTTATGACCCATTTATGCGCAATGCAATTTTCTTGACTCATACTCGACTCGACCCATATTACTAAAATACTTCTATATTTGATTAAATCTATTAAAACTCATACCTAAACTGATATGAGAGTGTGGAGTGAGCGAGCGTGAGATTAAGTAAGGGTGAGAGAGATGAGTTGAGTTTAAATAAATTGTAAACCTATTTATGACTCACTTAACACCCATATTATACTTATACTCATTCATGACCCATTTTCTAAATATAACTAACCCATTTATGACATATTTACTAATATATGGGTCAAGAAATGGATTTATCACCTATTTTGACAGGTATAGCAAAATAGAAAAAAGGAAATAACAGAAGTCAACTTATGTTGGGATTAGGCAAAGAGATTTATATTGACTGTATATTTATAACATGGGTCAAGGGATGTTTTTTGAGGTAACTTCGATCATACGCATTATCGATATACAACTAGAGGTGTCCAAATGGGTCTTAAACCCATATATGACCCATTTAAAAATAAATGGGTCATATACGGATCACTTTAATTTTAAAGAGCCAACCTTAAATGGGTTTTAAATTTTAAAGTTTAAAGATAAATGGGTCTAAATGGGTTGAGTTTGGAACCCATGTCCAACCCACCTACTAGACCCATCCACATACTTTCTCCCTCTTTACAAAAATGTTTAAAAAAATCGAAATTTAATTATTTTTATTTTTCTCTTTTTCTTTATTTTTTATTTTTTCTTTCTCTTCTTTTTTTTTTTTTTTTTTTATTCCGGCCGGTGGTCGGCCACGACGACCGGCCACCGGGCGGGACGACCTCGCCGGAGGCGGTGGCTTCGAGCTCGCCGGCCTCCGCGAGAGCCTCGAGCTCGGCCGATTCCGGCGACCTCGAGGCTCGCCCGATCCCGGGCGAGGCTCCACACCTCGCCGATCTGGCGAGACTCGAGCTCGCCGGCCTTAGGCGAGCTCGACCTCGCCGAGGCTGGCGAGCTCGAGCTCAGCCGGCCTCGGCGAGATCCAGCGAGCTCGAGCTCGAGGCCTAGCGAGCTCGAGTCTCGCCATCGGCGAGGCCGGAGCCTCGCTCGAGGCCGGCGAGAACGAGCCAGCTCGGCCTCCGGCGAGCTCGTCCTCGCCTGTGGTCGGTCGTCGGCCACGGCGGCCGGCGATCGGCCAAAAATAAAGGAAAAATAAAAAATAAAAATAAAAAATAATTAAAAATTCGATTTAAAATATAAAAAAATATTAATTTTTTTATTTTCTTGGATAATGACTTTATGGAAAATATTTTCTAGAAATGTCGCATTTTTCGCAAAACAAACAGAACCTCAATTTTAAAAAAAATTATAAAATTTTTTCACTAGCTTTGTATTGCATAAAATGTTTTAGCAGTATAATTTAAAAAAAAAATCATACGAAATAAGTATTCCTAGATTAGGTTAAATATAAAAGTGTTTTAGCAATATGGGTCGGGTCGGGTATGGGTCGTGTATGGGTCGGGTCGGGTATGGGTCGAGATATTTACACTATGAATAAATGGGTCATAAACGGGTTAATTGGTCAATTTGGGTCGGACCATTTATGACCCGACCCAAACCCGACCCGACCCACCCGTTTAACAGGTCTATATACAACGAAAGCATAAGGAGAATTTCCTCAAATGCATGGAATTAGCACGAGAAAACCCTTCTAATAACACTTTACATCAACAACTTCGGAGTGCGGAGAGAGAGAGAGTTGTAAGAGAATTTGTTTGAACATCTTCAATTATGAACTACTAATCTTCTCCGATAATGCTAATTATCAGCAGTTAATTACATGGAACTCCATGATGATCCATGTGCATAAACCATTTGGTGGAAATGAGGGTTTGACCATAAGTTCTAATCTAGATATTTTTTTTTTATCTCTCTGCTTGCATTAGATAATCTGCACATACTTTATTTTGGGATCAAATCCCATGTTTCAAAATAGATTTCAAGCTGCATATCCCTTATTCAAAAATGTCAAATCTACAATTATCATCCTCTCACTGTACAGTAGATTTCAAGCTACATATCCCTCCCATACATAATTTATCAAATTGCTGTTTTATTTCCTAAACCATCCACGTCTCCAGAAACATGTAACATCGGCTCACACTCTGTTCCCGACCTGAAGTTCACTTAGCCGGACAAACCCATCACCGTGTCCCGGCACTGCCATTACTTAGGGGGTTGGACTTGAAAATAACTTGTTTGTTAATCTCGTCAAACTTATTGATATAGCTACGACACAAATATGATTAGCAACCCAACCATGGGTAGCTCGGTTAGATTAGGGCGTACTTGAGATTGTGTGGTTAGAGCGTGACCTGTCAAGTGTTCGATTCCTCATTTGAGACTTGTGATTTAAGTGGCGGGCCATGGCGGTGGGTTGCTGTTCTAGTCTCCCCCGAGGAATAGTCGAGGTGCGTGCAAGCTGGCCCGGACACCTCGGTTATAAAAAAAAAAATATGATTAGCATGATCATGAACTTGCTAATACTACGCCATTTCAAGTCGAATGCTATCCCTCAAAGGCGTCAAAGTCCACATCTCTTGTAAAAGCCTCTCTAAATGGTTTTCCATTTTGGATTTTGTTGACAAGTGTAGAAATTTTATTTATTTATTTATGAACTATAATCATCCTAATATCATACTTAATTGTGGTATTACTAGAAAAGAAAGGGAAAATAACACAAACAGTTCATGAACTTTGGCCCAATGTGTAATGTGATTCATAAACTTTTAATTTATTCAATGCTGTTAATGAACTTTAACCCAATATGCAATGTGGTCCTTGAACTTTTAATTTGTTTAATGTTGTCCTTGAACTTTTGGTATATGTTCAATTTAACCCATAAACTATATGAAATGTTCAGTATAGTACTTTCATTAATTCAAATTAAAGGACTACATTGAATATGTATAAAAAATCTAAAGATTATACTGAACAAATTAAAAGTTCAAGAACTATATTACATATTGAGCTAAAGCTTACGTACTGTTTGTGTGATTATTCCGAAATGGAAATATCGTATAGTATGGTCAACATAATTAAGAGGAAAGAGAGAGGAAAAAGGGGGAAATGAGCTTCCATCGAATCATAATCTCCGCTTTGGCCTCCAAGTCGGAACGACATCTTCGTATTCTTCATGCTTTCTTCCCTCTCTCCTCTCTCTCTCTCTCTGCATCAGCCTTCTTCTTCCCCAAGAAACTCCTTCCGCTGCTCAGTCAACGAACATTCCCACGAGTACCCTTTATATATATATCCCATCTCTCTCCGCGCTCTAGCTTCACGCCCCATCAAGAACAACCAACCCTTCGCAAAAAGTCGCTCTCTTGATCCGTCAACCGGCGCCGGTCCGAGGAACCTCCGGCGACCCAATTCGCTAAATGGTGCTCCCGTTGCTGAAGCTCGGGACCCTCGTCGTCAAGACGCTGAGCAAGCCCGTCGCGAGCCGGCTCAAGCAGCAGGCCGCCCTCCACCCGCGGTTCCGGGAGCTCATCGTCGGCTTCGCTCAGGTTTGCCGATCCCCCTTCACTTCTCGCCGCGTGTGGGAAAAGATCGTTTCGCAATGTGTGCTGAGCGATTGTTAGTAGGAGAAAGTGACGATCTTTCGAGGTGCCTCGATCGGGTTTCGCGAGTTGATTAGGCGTTACGGGCTATATGCGCTGAGGCTGGTGTGATTTGATTGATGAGATTGGAGAGAAATGAATGTGGTCTTCGCGCTTGATATGGGTTGTTTCGATCAATGTAGGATTCTTGTCATTGCTTATGAATGTCTTCAGAGGACAATCAGTACGGAAGTTTGGTTGGATTCGGAGACTTGAGTTTTAGCTTAGTCTGATTTAGGGGATTAAGCGCCGCGCCATGTTGAGGTTTTGATTGGGCTTTTTGCTTTCTCGCGACTAAACTCGAATTTTCCAGTCGACTCGGGTATCTTCCTCTAATAGTCTTTGAGAGTCGATGTTAAGTTATGCTGCTCTAGACCAGAGTGTTGCGGATTCTCGTTTGCGAATTCCTGTATTTCCACTTGCCGAGGTTGGCTGTTGCGTTGCATCTCCAAGTTTTCTGTTTAGGCTTTGATTTTGAAGCTGCGAAAGATGCTGCATTTTCTCTTCTAGTGCAGAGAAGATGTTGAAGTGTCATGCAACGGAAAATGCTAATCCTTGTGGCACCATTTTGGCCTTCAAAAACTTCTCTTGTGTTTTTTACCAGAAATGACGGTGTTCACATGCTTACATCATGGATTCACCGTTATTTATTATCTGATCATTCTCATGGGTAGTAAGTGGCTGTGTTGATGCATTCTGTAACACTGGATTTCTAAAACAGTGCATGCTAAAGAGGAGCGAAATATCAGCTACTCTAGATCTATTCCTGGATAAAGTTGTGGTTTTTTTTCCTCCTTGGAAATGGCAGCACCGGCAATTGTTCCCTTGCCATCCTTTTGTTTTAGAATAGGAAATTATCCTCTAGCTTGTCTTTATGTTTAGAGGACTTGTGCTTGAATCTGGTGATTTCTTGGTATATAATCCTTAGTTGATTTATGATAGACGACATGTGGGGTCTCTATTAGCTTGATAGCAATGCTTCTTCACAGTGGATCAGTGGTTCAAGTGGCTGTGGCTGTCGTCTGTCATGAATCGCGTGCAACGGTTTCCCTTGATTTAAAGTTTAAAGTACTTCTTGGTATGGTAGCTGTATCATGCCCATAATGATTCACCAATCTTCCTCTTCTCATCTTACCGTTCGCTCTTGGAAATGGCACATTTTAGGAGTTATTCTTTTTCCCCTGATATTTTATGAAGATACAATTTCTGGTTGGCTACATCTCGAACTGATAGACATTAATCACTTGATCATACAGGCTAATCATCGAATGACAACAAACGTACAAAGAAGGTTATATGGTCATGCAACTGATGTGGAGATCCGGCCTTTGAATGAACAGAAAGCTGTACAGGCTGCAGTGGACCTGATTGGAGAACTTTTTGTCTTTTCGGTAGGCTAAGTTCTCAGATAGCCATATCTGTAACTTAGAATGTTTTATGCATGACTAGAGTTGTTAGCATTCTTGCCATCGTCAATAAGTTGTTTTCAAGTGGTAGGTTCAACATCAACTTTAGAAAGTTTCTTGTCCCGCAAAATTGCATTTTGCAAAAGCATGTATCTTTTGCAGATTCTGCTATTCATTTTTTCACCGAGCATGGCTGATATTCACATTCATTCCATCCTAAAGCAGTGATTCAGAGATTCGCTTCTTACTCTTTTTTTACATGGCCATTGTGGACAGGTTGCTGGAGCTCTTGTGATCTTTGAGGTACAACGAAGTGCTAAATCAGAAGCCAGAAAGGAGGAAAAACGCAGGGAAGAACTGGAGGTAATTTGTAATGATCCTAATCATATTTTACCATCTTATGTTGGTTTTCATTCCCACAGTGAACTTTGTCCCCTGTATCTCCCAATGTTCTTTTAAACCGAAAAATTAATCACGTGTGTCAGCTGTAACTGAAAATTAAGCGGTTAGTTTCGGGTAAAACTGAAGATCCATAAACTTTCTGTAGTTATGGTTGAATGTGCTTCTTATTTTCTCATTGTTGTGGGGTTAGTAAACATGAAGCGGTCACTTATGATGATCCTATCAAACTCTTGAAGTTTCTTTGGAAGAAATTTGCTCGTGTATTTGTTATATTTGCTGAATCGGTTGTGGGAGCCACCCCTTACTGCTCCTTTCATATTACTGCATTGCATGGTTGCTTTAGTTGATCAAACAGGCTTCTTAATATTTTCAGATATTCTAAGGACGAATTTGTACAGAATAGATCCCCTCCCTTCTCTTCTATCTTATTGTATAATCAAGTCTGAACTAGAGTTTACCCTCCTCTCTCTCTCTCTCTCTCTCTCTCTCTCTCTCTCTCTCTCTCTCTCTCTGTGCGATTTGGGTGATAACCAAGCCGCCCATGCAGTCTCTTGGCTCGATCACTCAACACTGATACCTGGTTTCTCTTGTTCGTGGACTGCCTAAGGCTTGAATTGCACAAACAATGGAGATTTGGAACTGTGTGTTCAGTGTCCTTTTCTTACAGGAGTTCAATAGGTACTTCCAAGTACCGAGCTTAATGCATAACTAGAAAAAAAATGAAACCAATTTTTCCTCATGCCAGAGTTGTATATCTTGCCTCATCTTCGTAGTTTTTCCTTGCTATAATTCTCTTATACCGAAAAGATGGAAAATCCAATGATTTGGCTTCTTGGATACCTGAGATGGATTGATTAGGATCCAATAGAATGAGCCCAAGTGCCATAAAATTGCTGCAGAACCTGCTAATTGCTTTCAGATGAGATGAATTGTCTTTCAGCTTATTCAGCTTGAAGACAGCGGTAGTTCATGGTATTTGACCAGTATTTTGTCATGGGAAGTTTGATGTAACTGTTGTTTTCAGTTTATTTCATGCGGCATGGGGCTTAGGATGCACATCTTATATATATTTGCATATTTTGAGTGACCAAATCCGGTTTATCATGTTTTGCATGATTTCATCATTTTCATAAAAAGTTGACTGGAATCCATCCGAAGCAATTACATGTGTTTTCCTGTCAAAAAGTTCCAAAAAAATTGATTAGTTCAATTGGAAATGTCATCAGTTCAAGAAGTTGACAGTTCTCTGCTCAATTGCTTTTATCAGGATTAGAAAATATAGTTTTTTCCAAGTTCATATCCAATACTTTAAACAGTTACCGTCATCTGCTCACAGGCAATGAGGCAAAGGGATGAAGCTTTAGAGAAGGAGGTGGAACTTCTCAAGCAAAAACTCGCAGAGCTTGAGCAACTAGCCAAGGGACGAGGTCTTTCCGGCCTTTTCAACTTCAAACATGCTAATACAGAAGATGCAAAGATAGCGAAACCAGCTTGAGGCTTTGACCAGCAGAGTAGGATCCATTACTATAATAAAAACAAGATTCATCCATACCGTCCACCCAATTGTGGAAAACCAATTCTTCCGGTCTTTTTTGCCAATTCTTTAATTTGTATCTTTCTTGGTTTGTTTCTTCAGAAATAGAAGGCCACATGGTTAGACATTTTTGGAAGATGAGAGGAAGGTGCTTACTCCTCGAGCTTGTAACAATTCTTCATTGCAATAACATTAGAATTAAGAGTCTGCCATTCCTGCAAATAACTATTATTTTTGTATTGCAACTTCTGTTGACACTGAAAATTGATCATGCCAATTTCACAGGCAATTGAATGGAACCGCGGAGGATCCGTGTCACTGGAACAATTAACATTGAAGAGTTTGGTTTCTTGATTCATCTGCAACTTAGCTGAAAAACGGGGTCTACAGCAGATTTGATAAACTCATTGCAGAAGGTCACCGACATAAAAATATGGTAGATTTTACTTTTCATCTAAAACGGGTCCTCTTGGTCTATAAAGGACAATTTGAGCAGCAATGCCTGCATATGCAGCATGTGCATCAAAATAAAAGACAACCGTCAGTTGGGGTTCCAAGAAAATCTGTAGAAAATTGTACTGCTCATCAAGGGCAAAAAATGTTCAGCCATAGAAATTTCATGCTAAATGGTCAAGAAATCCCCATTGAAGCACCTTAAGGAATGTTTTGGGACGTCAATCAGTCTCAATTCTTCACAAGAATGACAGTCTCCAGTTCTTTTCAAGCAATCTCATTTCTTCTGAACTTATGTTCCATCAAATTTAACTTATGTATTTCTCAAGTAAAAACACGAGATTTTCCTCGCTTTGAGCTTGAGGAACGGTTTGAGACGTCACCTGAAGTTATCTGAAGTATGTGACTTTCTTGGGTATTCAAGAAAATTAAGCAGCAATAATCAAGTCAAGTGAAAGCTCTTCGAGCGTCTGAATTAACTGAAATTCTTAGTTTACAAACTTAGAGCTCCCCAAAACAAGAAATAAATATTGAATTTCCTCCCTGCTCCCTGACAGCTTCAGCTGTCCATCCAATTCATCCAGCAACAAATAAATCTCGCTGGAATCCGGATGATCTTTATCGGAAGCTGCAAACTGATGAATCTCACCTTCCATTTCAATCGAACTAGCCCCAGGACATTCCTTTTCCACTTTCTGTTCTTTCATGGATGCTCTGATCTTCGCAACCTCTCCCCACCGACTCACTTCAGCGTACATATTAACTAAAAGAGCACGGTATCCACTATTTTCTGGCGCCAAAACCTTCAATGCATTAGCAGCAACTTGAGCTATCTCCAAATTTCGATGGAGGTTTACACCCGCCAAGCAATGCGCCCCAAATAACAGAATTTGGTTCAACTTTCATATTCTGAATCAATTCGAGGGCATCTTCCAGCAATCCGGCTTTGCTCAATAAATCAACCATGCACCCATAGTGTTCGACGCCGGGAGTGATGGTATAATCATCGGTCATGCTATGAAACCACTGTCGGCCTTCATCTACTAGCCCGGCATGAGTGCGCGCACTTAAAACGCTAACAAATGTCACCCCATTAGGCTTTATCTTTTCTCTCCCCATCATCTCGAACATTTTAAGCGCATTTTCTGCATAACCATGCATTGCAAGCCCTTCAATAACAGAATTCCAGCAGAAGAGGTTTTTCTCTTGCAACTTGTAAAATACCACAAGCGAACTATCTAAGCTCCCACACTTGGCGTACATATCAACCAACGCGGATCCAATATAAACATCAATGCAGAATCGGTTCTGCATTGCATAATGATGGATTTCCTTCCCTGCGTCTAGTGCGCCGAGATGAGCGCAAGCTGAAATTACAGCAGCAATGCTCACTTCATCAGGGGTAATTCCATGAGCAGTCATCTCTCGAAACGTGGTCAATGCTTCTCTGAATCGCCCGTTCTGAGAATAGCAAGTGATCATAGTCGTCCATGAGATGATATCCCTCACCCACATCTGTTCAAACAGCGACTCGGCCAATTCGACATCGCCCAACCTTGCGTACCCATCTATCATAGCATTCCAAGCAGCCACATTTCTTTCAGGCATTTCCTCAAACAATGCCCTGGCAGCGCTCATGTCGCTCGAACGGGCATGAGCCGAGACCATTGCAGTCCAGGCAAAAGCGTCTCTTTCGGGCATTTCATCGAACACCTTCCTCGACTCCGCAGTTCTACCGAAATTCGCATACAAATCGATCAGAGCCGTCTGCACGAACACGTGCGAGCCGAACCCATTTCTCCAGGCGTGACCGTGAACGCTCTCCCCGAGCCCCGAACCCCGCGCCGCGCCGCAGGCCTTGACCAGCGACGACAGGGCGAAACTCGTGGCACGGACATCGTCCCTCAGCATGGACTTGTAGCACTCGAGGGCCGGGACCGGCGAGCAACGGCGCGCCAGGCATCGGATCATCGCGTTGTAGACGAAGGCGTTGGGATTCTCCACGCGGTCGAAGGCCGAGACGGCGAAAGCCGCGTGGTGCGTGGCCGAAGATGCGGAGATGAACTGGTTCATCAAGAAGCAATCTTGGTCCGCGAATTTCTTGATCATGGAGGCGTAGATGGATTCGAGCTCGCTTCTGCTCGCGCATCTCTTCAATCGATCGACGATGGCTTGCTACCAGATTGAAATCTTGGGTGGTTGGATCATAGCCTCATTGGGGTCATGGTAAAACTTGTGATGTGGATAACATCTGACCTAAAAAAGAAATGTGTACAACTTTTGATTCTTTCCTCCTCTCGTTGAAAATGTGTGAAGCTTATATATATATCTTTTTCACTATCATCTCTGCTAAGTTAATTCCATAACTGCAATCTATGTAATTTTAATGTCAAAACTTAACAATAATTACTTCAGGTTCATGTCTGGGAAGTAAGAAATGTTATTCAGTAATTTATTCTCGATTATTGTCAAACAACTATTTAATTCTATTTTCAGCACTAGATATTACCACCACTTAAAATTTTAGTGCTTACAATTAAAAAGTGCCAAAAGTTATGTACGATACTCACTTTAATACCAAAAGTTTTTTTTTCTGGTCATTTAAGAGCCACTTTTTAAAAAACACGATCACTTAAGTGCCAATTCCGATTTGGATTGCCGGAAATCCGAAGTTGCCATATTTTATTAATTTCTCAGTCCTACGTGGCTCGTCGATTGGCCCAGTCAGCATATAACACATAAACGACGTTGTCTAAAAGTTGTAAATAGCAATCGTTTGAATGCCAAATTTTGTTTAAAGTGATCACTTTAGTGTCAGTCGTTATAAAAAACGATCACTTCAATGCTAGTCGGATTGTGCGATGTCGTTTTAGACGTCCATGTGGATTGGATTTTTTTAAAAAATATGCCAAGTCATATAAAAAATATTTAATTATAAATGTCACGTAATTAATTTGGCCGGAATTATCACTTAAATGATCGTTTTTTCTCCGATTTGATACTTAAGTGATCCGGAAAAAAATTTATGGTACTAAAGTGAGCGACGTACACAACTTTTGGCACTTTAACGTTCTTCTTTCAACAATTGAACTACTTATTTTCCAATTTCCCCAAATAAGCCCCAAGTGATGGGCCAATTTTTCTCATGGCTATTTAAAGAAGTAAAAAATCTCGGTTCCTATTGTTATGAGATTGGGATTGAGGACTTAGCGATCAATTATTCCCCTTGCGTCGAAATTACCAACATGGTCAACGTTGATGGCTCAAGTCATTGTCAGCTGTATATATTATAGGCGCGTTTGGCGAGGAGGACTCTTAGAATGCATTGGTAATCATTCTATTTTTGAAATAATTTCTGCTCGGAAATAATTTTTTTTATTCTGTTCCTGAGAATAATTTCTAAGCATTTGAAAGCATTTGGTAATTGCCCAAAATTTATATTCTTGGAATAGAAAAAGAACAGAAATGCATTTAGTAACTGTCCAAAATTTTTAATAATATTTTGAATTTTTTAATATTTGTTTCTCTTTTTTTTTTCCTTTTTCTTCTTGTCCTTCCTTGGCCTGTGGCCAGTCTCCGGCCGAGACTAGCCATAGGCCAGGGCCGACGAGGGCGAGGGCTGGAAGAGGCCGGCGAGAGCCGCCCTCGCGGCTCGTGGCTTGAGCGACGGTCCAGCCCTCGGCCATAGGCCAAGGAAGGAGAAGAAAAAAAAATATTTTTGTTTTGATTCCTTTTTTTGTTCCCGGAAACAAGAAGCAACTTTTTTCTACTTCTTGATTTTGTTCCAAATCTATTCCCGGGAACAAAAAATTTACCAAACGGATTTCTGTTCTTTTTTTGTTCCCGGGAACAAAAGAATAGAATCATGCACTATTTGGCCGGTTACCAAACAGAGCCTTAGTCTTTTTCTCGGTTTCTTCGGACTGTGCTTTCCTTTTTTTTTTTTTTTCTATTTTTGTTTGTTCTTCTTGGCCAGACACTGTTTTCTCTCTTCCTTTGAACTCTTGTAATTCTCTCGAATAATAATACAAATGATCCGTGGACTTTGATCTAAAGTGCAATGTGGTCCTTAAACTTTACCCAATGTGCAATGTATTCCCTGGACTTTTAATTTGTTCAATGTGATCCTTGAATTTTTTGTACATGTTCAATTTAGTCTCTGAACTATATAAAAATGTTCAATATTGTTATTTCATTAGTTCAAGTTCAGGGACAACATTGAACATTTTCAAATAGTCCAGGACTAAATTGAGCATGTACCAAAAGTTCAAGGACCACATTGAATAATTTAAAAGTTCAGGAACGACATTATACATTGGGCTAAAGTTTAAGAACTACATTGAACAAAATTAAAGTTCACGGACCACATTGCACATTGAGCTAAAGTTCATAGACCATTTATGTCATTTTCCCATTCCCTTGCAATGACGTCAACTGAATCAAGACCAAAGAAAGGGCTTAAATGAGACACTTGGGCTTGGACTTAGTGTTTTGCTCTTATTTATTATTTTTTGCAAGCCCGGTTATTCCCTTGAAATTGGGTGGTGTGGGGTGTGGAAGGTTCAACTCTCACGTTCTGCTGAGAGAGGGAGGAGAATTAAAGTAAGATCCAAGAAAAAATAATTCGGAAAGCTTGATTGGGATAGAGACAATGGACATGTGGTGAGGGGTGAAGATGGGGTCATAATTGATGTTTTTTTTTTATTTATGAAAAATTCTAAATAAGAGCTTAAAGTGATTACGTGGTATCAAATACGGATCTAAAGTGATCGTGGTTCGACAAAAAAAGAAGTGGCTATGACAGTTTCAAATAAGGGCTTGACCTCGTCGGTCGCCGGCCTGTCAAGGGAATTTTTGCCCAAATACAATTTTAATTTTAAATTATTATTTTTTATTTTTTCTTTGAGTTTTTTCTCATTTTTTTTTCTTTTAGCGAGTAGGGTGATCGGTTCCCGGTCCGGTTCCCAAAATTGGGAATCGGGGACCGGACCGGTTCAATTGAACCGATCACTTTTTTGGGAACCGGTCCAGTGACAGTGAGTAGAGTAGAGTAGAGACAGAGAGAGACAAGAGGGAATGTCATACAATAAGCGGAAACGGAAGAGAGAGGGGGCGAGTGGAGAGCATGGGGAGGGAGGTGAGGAGGGTCTGGCTATTCTGGGGCTGAGGTTGGCGAGGGGCCTTGCCATCCACCACAAGCATCGATAGTGCGGAGGAGGATGAGGCGGTGCTGGTTGACGCCATCTTTTTTTTGCCAAGAGCCAAACTCCGCCCCCATGGTCATAAAGAAGTAAAAGCAAACAAGAGAGAGGGGGTCGACGTTATGTGTTTGGAAGGGAGGGAGAGAGCCACTCGTTGTTGCTGCTATGGTGCGGATATTTTTTTTTAAAGAAATAAAAAAAAGTT